TGCTAGCTGATTTTATAAATAAAATTTTATTGGAATACAACCAATCCCATTCATTTACTGTCTATATCTGGTTTTGTACTTCAAGAGCAGAATTAAGTAGTTGAGACGAGGACTGCTCAAAATATTTACTAATATTTGTTAACTTTTTTTTTTACAGAAAAAGTTTGCCACCACCTGACTTAACAGTAGTGTTTAAAAGCATACGTTTCAAAGTTTAAGTTAGTAAGTACCTCATAATGCTTTCATGAGGATTAAGTGAAATGATTTGTTGAAAGCAGGTCAGATAGAGAGTTAAGTACTCAAATATTGTAAGTATATGCTATGTGTATATATACACATATATATGTTCTATGCATTTTATATATGAATACATATATATATATATATATATTTTTTTTTTTTTTTTAAATTCTCATGCATAGTCTAAAATTGAAGCTAGATACCATTCCATTTCTGGAAAAGCCTGAAATCATCCTATTCCATTTTGGTTCTCATAAATAGTCCATTGATAACACAGACTCCTGGTTCAAGCCCAATAAACATATCTCTGTTTCTAACCATGGAAATCTAAAGGAGCACTAATATCTGTGCCCTTTTCTTCTCTTCTTTGCTTGCTGGCTGAATTTACAACATATGACCCACTCTACCCCAGAAGGACACAACAGATTGTCCTTGAGTTTGCCTTAGCTCAAAAACATATGGGAATCTACCTAAAGCAGCTGTCACATTGCCCCAGGCCTTCTGTGTTCTGCTTCTTTGCCTTTGCCCATAACCCAACAGACATGTCATTTCAAAGAAAACAGACTTTTCCTGATTATTTTCTGCTTTGTGGACTGGTCTGAGATGGAAGTTTCCCAGCTGCATGTGAAGGCTGCATTTGTCAGAAAGGATTCACAATTAGATGGGGAATTAGATCAGCTAACCTGAAAAATTCATCTTACTTGATGTTCTATAGAGCACACTGGAGGCAGCCTTCTCCCCATGCTTCTCAGTCAGATGCTCACAGGGAATGTTTGAAGCTATAATCAGACATCAGTCTCCATCCCTATCTTTACACCAGGACAGAGTAATGACTTCTTCCGCTGAACTTCTCTAGCACTTACTGACTGCAACACTTTGGCAACCAGCAAAGGTGGCTGCTGGTGGTGCTATTTGTCGTCTTAGGGAATGTCTGCTCAAAATCTATTGAATAACCAATAGAGATCCAGAACTTAACTTGTTAAAAAGAAAAATCAAACTCCTAGTTTTTTATTCTCCATCTCCAAGAAGCTCTCCCTGTTTTCTTACCCATTTCAGTAAATGACAACTCAATTCTACTCTTTAGTTCAGATTCTTTTATTTTTTAAATTTTTTTGTGGTACTAGGGCTTGAACTCAGGGCTTCATGCTTGCTAGGCAGATGCTCTGCCACTTGAGCCACACCTGCAGCCCTCATTCAGACTCTTTATTCAATATAACAGCCTCCTAATCAGTCTCACTCTTTTAGACCCTCTATATTCTAATCCACACAGTAGTTTGAGTAATATTTTTCATAAAGTAAGTCAAGTCACATCAGCTCTCTGCTCAAAATCTTCCACTGGTTTCTCATCTCAGAGGAGAGCCAAATGCCTGCACAATAGTCTATAAAGGGTTTAAGTAGTCTACTTCCCACTTTGTGTCTGGTATCAGCTCCTGTGACTCTTCTGCCCACTTTCCTCTTGCCACTTTGGCCCTCTTAGAATTCTTAAATCATGTCAAGGATACTGGTTCCCACTTCATTGCACCTGCTGTACCTTTTGCCTAGAACACTTTGTCCCAAGATTCTTTGCTCTCCCATTTCCTTCAGTGTCTCCTCAAATGTGATCTTGTTAGGGAGACCTTCCCAGATCATTCAGGATAAAAATAACAAGGCTCCAGTCACTCCACCCTGGGCACTGCCCATCCTATCCCAATACCCAGACTTATTTTCTCCATGGTACTGATTATTTCCTGATGTTATATATTTACTTGATTTTATTTTCTGTATCCTTTCCTCATAAGAATACAATTCCTGCGTCAGGAACTCTGTTTTGGTTCACCATTATATCTCCAATGCCTAGATTATTTTCTGATATGTAGTAGATCTTCAGTAAAAATCTGTGTAATATATCAACTAACCTATCCTATCCTTCTTCTAATTTATAAACTCCTTATAGAAAGAAACCTTTCTGACTTCACTTTTGTGGTCTGGCACCTAGACTGTATTCTGAACACAGAAAGTGTTCAAATAATAATGAGGAAATGATGACAATTCTGGAAACTTCAGCTTGGGCCAAATCCTCGTATTACACTGGTATTTCATGTTACTTTTCTAAGGTTCCAAAGTTCTCTAAACTTGGATCATTATGGATAGCTAATCTATAAGGCACTACACTGGGCTACTTTAATTGGCAGAAATTCTATTCTGATCAGGTATATCATTATTGGTTTGCCTCACTATGTTCTAATGTCCCTCCCCTAGCTTTCATTCCCAATTCTAATTATTTGGCTACAGCATGTGGCAATATGCTGACTCAATCACAGATAGGAAAGAAAACTCTTTACTACCAGACAAGGATATGGCCTAATACATACAGGTCAGTAATACATTACATTATGGTATATAGGAAAGACAGCATATTATCACGTGACACAACTGTTTCTAAAAATTAAAAAGTCTTAGCACAAAAAGAACTTTTATAAAACAGTAGCTAAAACAAGAAAAATTAAAATCTATTGAGATGGTTCAATAAACTACTTCAAGTAAGAACTATTTAATTAATTTAAACATCCTCCAAATTTCAATTCTAGTGAAAGAGAATGGAGCCAACACTGGTCTATCCTATGAGATGTATTTGTAAAGTGAAGTGGTAAGAATGCTCTTCTAGCTGGGCATGGTGGTGCACACCTCTGACCCCAGCTACTTGGGAAGCAGAGGCAGGAGGATCACCAGTTCAAGGCTAGCCTGGGCAAAGTTAGTAAGACCTTATTTTAAAAGCAAAGCACCCAAAAGGGTTGTGGGCAGAGCTCAAGTAGTAGAGTGCTTAACCTAGTCAAGTGGTAGGGTACTTGGCTACCAAGTGTGAGACCTGGGTTCAATCCCCAATACTGCAGAGAGTGAGAGAGAGACCGAGAGAAAGAGAGAGAGAGAGACAGAGGGAGAGACAGACAGAGAGAGACAGAAAAAAAATGTACTCCTAAGGTAATTTCTAAGATTGTCCTGAGGCTGCAACAGACAAGAGAGTTGAAAGAATGCTGTCTCACCCCAGCACTTGCAGCTCTCCTAGTTCTACTTCAGTCTGCCTTGGCTTCTGTGACCTGTTCTGGCTCTTCTGTGCAATCACCTGCACATTAAAGGTGTGAGAACAGCGAGAGAGGGAACTAATTCCATAAAAATGGAGTACAGAAAGTGTAAAATGTAGTTCAGGGCTTCATAGTCAACTATTGTGTGCCATACCCATGGCAATACCCTGCTCCTCCAGGATGCTTCCTTTTTTGCAGCCTAATGCGATGTTCTGTGGTATCAGCTACTTTTGGATCAAATGCAACAGACAAGTCAGAAAAGCAGATGGAATGATTCTTATATACTTATATAGCATGAAGGAGAATAAAGAATCCTAGGAGGAAGGACCCTGAAGAAGTTCTTCAGGAAGAAGGGATCTCTTTAACCACCTAGAACAACTAAATATCAATATCTTAAATCCATCATGAAAAAAAGTTAGTATTTTAATTCTCCTAATACTTCCTACTCTGCGGATTCCAAGAGCTAGCATTATTTTGGTCTGAAGGAAAGAAGACTTGGAGCTGGCTTGCTAAATGAACTCTAGACTGCTTTAAAGTGATGAGGGAAGAGAGAGTTATCTCTTTTATAGAAATACATTGCAACCACTCATCAAGTATCCCAGGCTTGCACAAAAAAAAAAAAAAAACCCAACTTTTTATGTTTGCTTGTTTTGAGACAGTCTTGCTATGGAAAGCCCAGGCTGGCCTTGAACTGGTGATCCTCCTGCATCAGACTCCCAAGTGCTAGGATTACAGGTGTGTACCACCACATCCAATATTAGAAAAAACAACTTTTTAATAACAGAGCAAGATAACTGGAGTTACATATTCCCTGCACGTAAATAACTGATGGGACTGAGGGTGTAGTTCAAGTGAATATTGGGCTTGCCTAGCATACTCAAGGCCTGGGTAAGATCCACAGTGGGAGGGGAGGGCGGGAGGGAGTAAGACTGGTGGTAGGGGTGGAATCTGGTATTGGTATGGATATGTCTGTCCTTAGAGCTGTTTTTTTGGGTTTTTTTAAAGTAAAGTAAATGCAGAAGTCCTAGTCTCCATTGGCCAGAGGCAATTGCAGTGAACCAGAGCCAACAATCACATCCAAAATTAAACATTCCAAAAGCTGAAAACATAAAATACTAGAAAGATTATGTAGAGCACTATTACATTTGTGAAAAACATATGTTTCATAAATTACTTTCAGATAAAGAAAGTGTGAATTTAAGAAAACAAAATACAAGGAAACTACAATGTTAAACATAAATTTGGCCCAGTACCACGTCAGTGACTGAGGGATGAGAATCAGCTACAACCCTTTGGTAACCTTTAGCCATCCATCCCCATTCTACAGGGGACAGCAGGGTCTTTGAACTCAGCCAGCCGCCCCCCCCCCGCCCCGCCCTTCCTTCCCCGCTTCCTGGGTTTCTCCTACTCAATGTCAAGAACATTTCTGCGGGGTAGGGGGTGGGGAGGAGACAGCACCAGCCCCAGTCCACCCACGTACAATCCATTAGCTGGTCAGTGAGATGCAGGAGCCTGGCTTCCTCCCTCCACCTTCCTTAGGCGGAGGGCCAAAGAAAGAGGAGAGATGGGAAGGATAAAGAGATCTTTGGAGTTAAGAGATCTTTCATGTTCGACCCCTTTTCTCTCTCCCCACTCAGGATGAAAGGTCAAAGGTAGACAAGACCAAAATGAAACAGAGAAGCAGGTTTTGTACAGGGGGGCAATGCACCCGGTGCCCGTCAGAGCCGTCCCGTTCTGCGGTCTCTCTGCTGCGCACTCGCTCATTAGGAGTCACCTCTGTCTGGGTCACAGGACCGGCCACACAGCCTGCGAGGCGGCTCGCTGTGAAGCTCAAGCCCCAGAAACCAAATTCGGTCTTAGGAACAGCGGGAAGAAAGGAGAGCTGAGGGCAAGGGGAGAGAGCCGCGGAGGGAAGAGCAGCGAGCGGGGCGAGGAAGGCTGCGACCGACTCCCGAGGGGAGCCAAGCCCTCAGCGGGTGCGGGGTGGGCAGGAATCCCCGCCGAGCACCGGCCGAGCGGTGCCTCAGTGCAAGCGGCCATGGCAGGGCCCCAAGCTCTACGACGGGGCGCTGAAGGTCGGGGCAAGTGCACCTGCGGGGATCCCGAGGCGGGCGCGGCTGCAGGGGCTCACCGTGTCCTTGGACGAGCCCAGCTTCTTGAGGCCGTCCAGGGGCAGCAGGTCGGCCGAGTCCTTGTGGATGAACTGCACCGCCTGCTTCATCCGGCGCTGCTGCCGCAGCGACGCCGCCTCCCGCATGTCGGTCTCCTTGCGGCCGCCCTCAGTGAGGAGCCCTGAGTAAAACATCGCTGAGGCGTCCGCGGCCCGGCGGCCCCGTCGCCTCCCAGCGCCCTCAGCCTCGAGCTCCTCCAGCGCCGCAAGGGCCGCGCGCCGCGCCTTTTATAGCCGAGCGTGACGTCACGGGGAGCAGCCAGTGCACGCGGGGGGCGTGGCCGGCACAGCACCCCGCCCCTCTGGCGTGTTGCTCTCCTGGAGCCGAAGTCAGCCACCCACCTCCACGCCACCACCTTCGGGAAAAACCGGAGAGGTGCGGACCGCTCGGGCGGGACTGACCCAGAGGACCCAGGACCTACTGCGGCCGTTTCGCCCAACTGTCCCTTTCCTATGTGGGTGCCCTTGCACCCCTTCGACTGGGAGGAACCGTGGGACGCAATGCTCCAGCAGTTTCTTCCACCCCAGCCGCCGCCCGGGGTCCCCACTCACCTGTCCACGCCATGGCCGACCCGGGGATCACTGACAGCTGGGCCATGCCCCGAATCCCGCCGCCCGTACCGCTGCTCGGCTTCGCAGATTATCTCCTCCGCGCCCTCTGCCGGTGCCCGGCGCCCAGGTACGGAGGGGAGGGCGGCGCACTCCGAAGTTGGGAGAGCTCAGAATTTCTCCAACTTCAGGTTGGTCCCCACCAACAGGGCCACGTGACTAGGGAGGGGGCAGCCCTGGCCGGAGGGCTGGAGCTGGCCTTCCGGGGACCCTACCCTCCTCCTCCTCCTGGCACCCTCTGCCCTGAGCCCAGGCACCCGCGATTCCTCGCCCAGAGAGGCAGGTCAAGTAGGAAGTCCGGGTTTGGGGAGTGGAGAGGGTTCCAGCCTTCGCGGAAATGCACAGGACTCCCCACTCCTACACCTGCTCTTGGGAACACCAAACGCAAGCCCTGCTTTTCTCAGTAAACGCTGTGCTCACCGTCTGGAGTGGGGACTGGGTCTTTAACCTGTCTTCCCAGCATCCTTGTGGGAATAAAATTGGGACCCATTTTTCTTCGTGAGTCATTCATACTTTCAAGCCATTCTGAAGGGGCCTTCAGGCATTCTGGGTTCTGGTCTTGACGTTGTGACTTGATGGAAACCACGTTTCCCCCGAGAACGACGGGGACTATTTCCACACCATCTCACAGAAGCAGGCAGGAATCAGAAAGATCTGTTCCCTGACAAGAATGTGACAATAATGACACTCACTGCACTCATTGAACCCTCACTGTGAGCCAGGTACTGGAATAAACACTTGAAATGCATTGTCTCACTGGATCCTAGCAATAGCTTGTGAGATGTATTATCATTATCTACTTTTTTTCATCAAATACCTGAAACCTACCAATTAGTCTCCTAACTGGCCTGAAAGCTCCACGGCCCCCTCCCTATCCATTGTTCACTGTGCTGCCAGAGGAATCTTTTCCAACTGCAAGCACTATCATCTCACCTCCCTGGTTAAGGGCATGTCAAAAGGCATCCTAGGGCTCTCAGAGAAAGACCCACATCCTTGAGTGGTCCGTCTCCACCTCCCGCCTCCACTCTGCTTTTCAGCCTCATGAGCCTTCTTCCAGTGTGTGGAGGAGGCATTCCCGCTCTGCCAAATGACTTCCCTCTAGCTTGGAGTGCCCTTCCTCCGTGCTTCAGTAAAGATCTGTGCTTCTTCCAGACCTCAGCTCCATTATCATTTCTTTAAGACGGCCATCTCTGACCTTAGAAAGAGGGTGAAGGGAATGTCCCTAATTATACAGTGTGTATCTCTTCAGGACATTTCACTGCGTGTGTGTGTGCGTGTGTGTGCGCCTGTGCGTGTGTGCGCGCGTGTGCATATGCGTGTTACTGGGTTCTGTGACCAATGTGTTTCTCTTCCTTTGATTGTAAACTCAAAAAAGGCAACTGAGTTCTTTTTTTTTTTTTTTTTTTGCTTACCATTGAACCCAAATACATAGAAGGCTGTGAATAAATACTAGTCTAGAAGCCAGACACTGTGGCTCATACCTGCAATCCTAGCTACTCTGGAGGCAGAGATTGGGACTCCTTTAGAGGTTAGCCCCAGCAGAAAAGTTTGCAAGACCCGATCTCAGTAAAAAGCTGGCCATGGTGGCTCACTCCTGTCATCCCAGGATGTGGGGAAGCATAAATGGGAGGATCCTGTTTCAGGCTGGTCTGGGAGTAAAGCTAGACCCTGTCTCAAAAAAACCAAGGCAGAGGATTGAAATGCACTACACACACAAAGACAGCATAAGGCAACCCACCAAACACTGTTTGAAAACGGAACTAGAACAGAAGAGAGACTGGGACTATAATGGAGGAGTGAACTTGTTCAAAGTATACTGTATGCATATATGGAATTATCACAGTGAAGCGCCCTTGTATTATTAATGTATGCTAATTCAAAAATACAATAAAATTTTAAACAATTTTTAAGCAAAATAACCAAAGTAGAAAGGACTGGAGACATGGCTCAAGATGTATGAAAGGCCCTGAATCAAACTCCAGTACTCCTGATAAATAAACAAATACTAGTATAGGTATGGCAAAAAGTTAAGATTATGTAAGAAAAGCAAGCAGCAGAGCATGGACCTGCCTTTAGAACCTACACTGGACTTCCTAGACTGTGAGGGCTTGGACTGACCTTACGAGCCTGCTTCTTTCCTTCTGTTCTCTCTTCAACACTTGCCCCAGTTTCAGAGAGCAGACTGCTGTGGAGAAACAGATCCAGAATTCTGTTCACCTGGCTTCAGGGAAGCCCCAGGTCTGGAGTCCTCTATTCTCACATGTGGAAAGCAGGGTCTGGGGACAGGAGATTGCTCCTCACCTTCTTGCCCCTGGCACACCTCCAATAGCCAACGACAGTGGCTGCCCTGGATCCATTGCCTGGATCCCTGCCTGGTCACTCCTCCAGGTGGGTTGCCCAGGGAACTGTGAAAACAACTTTCCTTGTCTGTCTAGGACAGGTGCCTCTGAGCTTGGCAAAGCGTCAGGACCAGCCCAACATTGAGGGACCACGTGGCTTGGGCTGGGACAGCTACTTCCCACAGGGAAAGCCAGGCAGGTAGAAGCTCTGGGGAAGCAGTTGGAAACCCTAAAGTAGCTCAGCTCAGCTCTGTAGCCTTTTTTTTGCTGATGATGTCCCAATAAAAAGAAAGGGGCTCTTTTCCATAGCCTGATCCCTGGGGATACCAAAAAGCTGAATCTCTCTGGCTGAACTGGAATTTGACCATATCAGGTGTTGCTGACTGGAGCTGGGAACTTTTTTGTGAATTCAGAGCTCTTTGCTGTAGTGGGATTCATGTTCTGCAATTGGATCTGTGGCCACAATACTGGTTCTGCCCCTCAACTGTCAGAGACCTCACTTAGCAGACTGATACCATCACTGCCCTTATGTGTGGGTCAGAGTGGTGAGGACTGCTCCCCTGCCCCTGCCTGTGCACACACACAGTGAGTTTCTGCACACCATTGGCTGGCTGTTTAAGGAGGGTCACCTCTGGGTAATATATTCAGCTTGCCCAAATGACTGAACAAGCTGCTTCCTGCCTGTGAATTTCAGTTTCCATATATGTAAAAGAGATGTAGTGAGATTGCATATTCAATTGCTCTTTGTAAATTCTCAAGGGTATACAAATAGAGAAGCTATTAATTCTTCATTTAGCTGAACTTCCCTACAGAATTGAGCCACCGCAGTGGAGGCTTATAGATTAAAAGTATAGGTTTTGGAGTCCATCATATTAGGCTCAAACCCTTGCTCTGCCACTTACTAGCTATGTGACTCCACCACTATGACCATCCATCCTCATCTAGAAAATGGTGGTACCTCTCAGGGCTGCTGTGAGGATTAAATGAAGCATATTTGCATGTAGCATGGGCTAGGTACAAGGCAGCTGCCATATTACTTGGGGCAGCCTCAGGAAAACCCATAGCTAGCTGCACTCTCAGAGTGGGCCTGGCCTATGCTTCCTACAGATCTCCCCTCCCCACTCCCTGAGGCTGAAGCCTTCGTAAGTAGGGGCCAGCCATCCCTCTTCTTCTCCTAATGTCTCCAGTTTCTGGATTTACTCTGTTGGGTAGCTCTGTTCTAAAGTTCCTTGCAACCTACCCTGGCTACTGTAGAGGATCTATACTTGAAAAATCATATGAAACAAGCTAATGCTGTTCCAGTTAGGACTGTCTTCTCATAAGTGACAAAAACCCAATTGCAAATTTCTAAAGTACAAATGCAGATTTTTTGTTCCCTTCATTAAAAAGTACAGGGGCTCAACTGGCGTTATCATTGTGTTTCAGTCCTGCTTAATGATGTCCCAATAGGCAGACTCTTCCTATCTGAAAGGTGTCAGCAGCTCCTGGCTTACAACCTCTTCTCCTAGAAACCCTCTTTTGTATCTTCAGCTAACAGAGAGGCCTTTGAGAGTGGGAAAGTAGATGGAGAAGAGCAAAGGATAAAGGGGAGACCACCAAGGAATTTCCATCCCCTTTCCCTACCTCCCCCCCATGCATATTGCCCTTGGCCTTACCCTGGAAGTTAGAAGGGCCTGTCCTCAGAGCTCTCTTTGTTCACTATCCCCATCCTTATAGCTAGGAACAGAATCCTCTTCCTTCTCTGGTGTCCTCACCACCTTCACAGCTTTCTTGGCAAGAAGATTCTTTGAACAATTGTCCCTGGCAGGTACCAGATGTGGACCAGAATCTCCTGCTGCACAGGGCCCATGACTTGGCACCCAGCCCTGACGACTGTGTCTATTCTGGCGGGTTAAAGCAAAGATTGGAGATTTCTCTGTCTTCTTTCCTCACAGGGATTCTGAACATCACCACAACCTAAAAAAACAGGGCTAATGGCAACCCTGTCGGTATTTTCCAAAGTTGGCTGAGTCTTTTGGATCCATTCCTGTTGGCAGTGGTTTGTGATGAGGACAGATTTTGACCTCAAATCAGACAGCAAGAGAGGAGAGAAAGAGGGAAAAAAATCTGAGAGTCTTGTTGGGGACTGAGAATGGATTTGTCTAGGCTTGGCTTTAAGTCTGGCTCTGACCCTTGCTTGTTATGGGACCTTGGCCAAGTTAAGGAAGCTCTCTGAGTCTCAGTTTACTCATCTCACATGGTTCTGTATGGATTAGTAAGATAATAGAGCACAGAGGCCTGGCACAGAGTGGGCCCTCAATAAATCTGAGTCCTGTTCCTTTTCCTCCCCCCTCCAACACATGTCTAGAACTCAGAAATAGAGTGGCCCTCTTAAAGCAGGGAGAACCGTTGGTATAGAAATGAGACCCTTGAAGTTGACAAGCCTCTCAGAATCCAGGGATGCTTAGGTCTACTCTGCCTAGGCCTACCCTGCCTGCTTCATATGGCCTCACCGGCCTCAACCAGAGCAGGAACAGCCAGCAGGGCAGCTCGCACTATAACCACTGTCATCCTGGTATCACTGAGGGCCCTACCTCCTCCCCTTGAACCTAGAATACTGCTAAAGGTGGAGCCATGG